TGCCCAGGAACCACATTAGAGTGCCTTGGTTTGGACATGGCATTATTCCCATTTATAGCTTCCTGCTTTGGGGAACCCTGGGAGCTGCAGGTGATGGCTCAAGTAGTTGAATCCCTGCCACCTACATGGGAGATCTAGATTAGGTTCCTGACTCCTGGATTCAGCCTGGCCCAGCTTTGGCTATTGTGGACATTTGGGGAGTGAACAGTAGATAGTCTCTCTCTCTCTCTCTTTTATTTTGCCTCTTTCTGTTTCTCTCCTCAAATAAATGAATAAATTTTAAAAATAAATAAAAAAGTCTCCTTAACCAGAAGCTAGGGGAAATTTTCTGTTCTCATTCATCAACTCTTTTTTTATTATTATTTGACAGATAGAGTTACAGACAGTGAGAGAGAGACAGAGAGAAAGGTCTTCCTTCCGTTGGTTCACTCTCCAAACGGCTGCTATGGCCAGCACTGCGCCAATCCGAAGCCAGGAGCCAGGCGCTTCCTCCTGGTCTCCCACGCGGGTGCAAGTGCCCAAGCACTTGGCCATCCTCCACTGCCCTCCAGGGCCACAGCAGAGAGCTGGACTGGAAGAGGAGCAACCAGGACTAGAACCCAGTGCTTTTATGGGATGCCGGCGCCACAAGCAGGGGAAGTGAGCCACAGCAACGGCCCTCATTCATCAACTCTTAAAGAATCTCAAATAGCTTCATAAAAATAAGAGCTGTCATCAACTTTTTATAGAATGAATGCAGCTGAGAATTCAGTATATTTCGTGTGGCTTAATATATTCTTCCCTGCACCTTTCAGTGAGGCTGATGATGTCATTGAATCAGGCCAGTGTACCTTGCCCTTCATCGCTTCTTATCAGAATCCTATAAATGACCACTGCATTCGCCAAAGGTTTGCAGTTTATTGGGCTTGATTGCACAGGTGTCATGACTCAGCAGAAACTAAGTTGTACTTGCTCCTCATTCTTTTTTCTTCTGCTCTTATTTCACAGGTTTTCCTCCTATTATTTACATTTCATTGATATGGAAGAGACTATGGGAGCTTACCAAGGTCTATCATATCATATTAAAGTAATAATTTCTAAGTATAAAGCATCAAATATGTAAACAGACTCCTCCAATGGGTTGCATTAATTCATGCCACTTGATAGACATTCCAATTGCATTTCAAAGAACGCTTCTATGCCTTTATAATTAATTGCCAACTTTCATGGATTTCAATTGATATTGGAACACTTTACTCAAAATTTTATTAATTATTTTAAGATTAATATTTTTAGGGTTTTTGCTATGTATTTAGAGAAGTATTCTAAATAACAGCTGCTTATAAATGAGACAGGCAACAAATATATTTAACATTTATTTGGAGAGAGAAATACACAGGAAAGTGAGGGCTGTATGAGAGGGAGCTTAGAAGTTTACCAGCCTTTTCTGGGAGTAGAACAGAGGCTGCAAGGGAGAGAGAGCACATGGGCTGCATGGGCGAGCAGTCATCAGAGGTGGCCAAAACACTGCCCATGCCAAGAGGCGTGGGGGTGAACAAGAGGGAGGGCCCAGGCGTTCTGGGCCTTTTATTCACTTCCGAAGGGGGGTGGTTACATAGTCTTACTGGCAGGTGGGCATACAGGTGAGGTCAGGTAGGGGCATGAGATGACAAAAGGATGAAGGGCGAAGGCGTGGTCTCCAGCTCACAAATCTAATCAATTTAATCCTATCTGCCTGCCTATATCACAACTTTTTCCTCCATAGCTCACATGAAGAAACACGCTCTGGGAAAACTACTTAAACCCAAGCTTCACCATAAAAAACACAACTGCTAAACTATACTTGTTTTCTGCAGCTGATTGATTAAGGCAGCAAACTGATAGTTACAGTGCAGAAAAACAAGGACTCAATGTAGTTCAATCCAAGTTGAACAAATTGATTCAATTGCATTCAGTAATATTGATTAGGGCTATTACATGTGAGGCATTAAGAGTGTACAAATATGAGTTAGATGCAGTAGCAGCCTTATTATCTACTCAGGAATATTGAAACAAACGTATATAACCATAATGCAAAGAAATGTGGCCTAACAACTAACAATGTGTAGATGTAAGACATAATAGCCAAATCTGATTTGGGGGATCAAAGAAGCCTTCGTTTACAAGGAAGGACACCATTTTCTTGCCCATGAAGGCGGTTGCACTGCAGCCATATTTACAATTGATTTGCCCAGGCCACATTCAACTACGGACCCATTTGGAGCCACACTCGAATATTCTTTCTCATTATCATGAGCAGCCCCTTTACTTCTGCTGCAAAGCTTTAGCCTGGAAAACTCCCTGGAAAAATTGTGAAACCTCTCTGAGGCCAAGTTTTATCTGTAAAATAATGATAATACCATCTCCATAGAATTGTTGTGAAGCCTATATAAGACAATGTGTAAAATTCATGGGACAGCTATTATTGTTTTGTATTTGCATTATACATTTCTTCAAAAATAGTGACTAATCACCTATTTTGTGAGAGAAGTAAGACAGAAGAGACAGGAAGCAACCCTTCACAGACAAACTTCACCTGAGGTCCAAATTAAAGACTAATGGAAGTAAAAAGAGGAAGATGGATTACTCTATTGGTTCATCCATGGCTGTTAAATTTTTTTAGAGTATTTTCTCTTGGTTTTCTTGAGATTCTTCTAGTCCATCTCTCAGCTACAATTTATACTTATCCCCAAAGTACAAAGTAAAGGGGACTTACAGAATTGTGGCAATGGTGATTTCATCTCTAAAACCTTTACAGATGGACATGTGGAGTAGGCTTCTAGGGTTTGACTGTGCTTGTTTTAAAACACTTTTTAGTATCTTCCCAAGCCTTTTCTTCATCAGTAAATAGAAGCATAACACCCAGTTAGATACATTTAAATTTCTAGACAACCTTTACAATTCAAAGATAGGCATTAAGAAAGTTGTTTTCACACCGGGTTCTAGTCCCGGTCGGGGCGCCGGATTCTGTCCCGGTTGCCCCTCTTCCAGGCCAGCTCTCTGCTGTGGCCCAGGAGTGCAGTGGAGGATGGCCTAAGTCCTTGGGTCCTGCACCCGCATGGGAGACCAGGAGAAGCACCTGGCTCCTGGCTTTGGATCAGCGCAGTGCGCCGGCCGCGGCGGCCATTGGAGGGTGAACCAACGGCAAAGGAAGACCTTTCTCTCTGTCTCTCTCTCTCTCACTGTCCACTCTGCCTGTCAAAAAAAAAAGTTGTTTTCTTCCACATTTATATCTCCATTCATACTCATTACAACTTGCCTACCTTTTAAAAATACTTATTTGAAAAGTAGAGAGAGAGAGAGAGGGAGGGAGAAAGATCTTCCATATGCTGGCTCAACTCCCAGATGGATGCAACAGCCAAGGTTGGACTAGTCTGAAACCTAGAGCCAGGAACTCCATCTGAATCTCCTACTTGGGTGGCAGGACCCAAGCAATTGAGCCATCATCCACTGCCTTCTGAGATGCGTTACTAGGAAGCTGAATCAGAAGTGGAGCAGCTGGGATTTGAACCAGTGCTCTGTTATGGGATGCCAGCAATGCAAGAGGAAACTTAACCTGTTGTGCTATATACAAGGACTAGATTGCAAAATCTTAATGAGATTGACAAACAGATGCATAATTTGCTAGTAATAAATTGTATTAGATGACTGCTTTGTTCAGTTACCTGTCACAACACTGAGAAGGACAATTGTTTTAAAAATGAATGTAGTGTTCCAGTTATATATGTATTTTGTTGAAAACAAATTTTTATAATATAGTTAACTATGATGTTTCTAATTAAATATTTTTGAGACATATATATTTACATTCACAGAAATATGAGAAACAGGAGACATGAGGGATATTTAAAAGCCACCTCAAGCAAGGGAGTTCCTGGCTATTCTTTACCAAGCTTTTCACACTGATAAATCTTGCAAAACTATTGCATGGCATTGCAACCAGGGAATTGACATTGATATATTCTATTGATCTCATTCATATTTCCCTAGTTTTCCTTGTATTCATTTTTATGTTTGTGTGTGATTTAGTTCTCTGTAATTTTGTCACATGCTTATATTTATATATCTACCACTACAGCCAAGATACAGAACTGTCCCATCACCACAAAGATCTCTTACATTATCCTTTTATAAGCCTCGTCTGCCTTCCCCTATCCCTAATCCCTGGCAACTACTAATGTGCTCATTTTGATAAATTTTACATTTTCAAGGCTATATAAATGTAAAAATTTGGGACTGGCTGTTTCCGCTTATCATAATTTTCTTAGAGTCATCAAAGTTACTGGTCTTATCAAAATTATTATTATTGGTAGTGATCTATGGTATAGATGTACCACAATTTAACATTCAGCTATTGGGGGGCTGACACTGTGATGCAGCAGGTTAAGCTGCAGTATGCAGTGCCAGCATCCCATATGGACCTCAGTTCGACAACCAACTGCTCCACTTGCAAACCAGCTCCCTGGTAATGCACCTGGAAAAGCAGCAGAAGATGAGCCAAGTCCCTAGGCCCCTGCACCCACGTGGGAACCGGAGGAAGCTCTTGGCTCCTGGCTTCTGCCTGGTCAAGCCCCAGTCACTGCACCAGGGTATTGAACCAGTGAATGGGAGATCTCTCACTCTCTCTGTGTCTCTTCTTCTCTCTCTAACTCTGCCTTTCAAATAAATAAATATTTTTTTAAAAATTCAGCTATTGAATGGCATGTGATTTATTTCCCAATTTTGCCAAATACCAATGAAGTTGCTTTGAATATTTTTATTTAAATATTTGTTTTAACATAAGTTTTCTGTTGTTTTTCTTTTTTAAGATTTATTTATTTATTTGAAAGTCAAAGATACACAGAGAGAAGGAGAGGTAGAGGGAGCGAGAGAGAGAGAGAGAGAGAGAGGTCTTCTATCTACTGGTTCACTTCCCAAATAGCTGCAACAGCTGGAGGTGCGCTGATCCGAAGCCAGGAGCCAGGAGTTTCTTATGGGTCTCCTACATGGGTGCAGGAATCCAAGCACTTGGGCCACCTTTCACTGCTTTCCCAGGCCATAGTAGAGAGGTGGATCAGAAGTGGAGCAGCTGGGACTCAAACCAGCATACATATGGGATGCCAACACTGCAGGTGGTGGCTTTTCCTACTACCCTATAGTGCTGTCCCCTTCTGTTGTTTTTTTTAAAATAAATACCTAGCAATGCAATTGCTGGGTTGAACAATTATTGCATGCTTGAATATTTAGGAAACTACCAATTGTTTTCCAAAGTGATGGTACTAGTTTACATTTCTATCAGTAACGTTTAATGACCCAGTTTCACCACCTTTTTTTTTTTTTCTTACATTGCTTTGGTCTGTTTGGACAGTAAAATTGGTAAATAAATAAATAGCTCATGTAAGAACAGCCTGTAAAACGTCAGTTCAAAAAGTCCAAAGGGTAAAACGGCTGGCGATACATAAAGCAAACCGTCTCAAGAAAGGGCCTGTCTGACTTGGCTGAGCTGCCAGGGCTCCCAGGTAAGCAGCAGATGCCTTATACTCCTGCAGAGTGTCTGAGAGACCCCAAAACTTTGCTTGGGCTAAATTAAGATAAATAAATCTTTTCTTTCCAAAATAGGATCATGACCTATAAAATGCTTCAAGTAGCTCTGTGTTCAACATTGCTTATAGGTAAGAGTGTATTTCTTTTTTATTTAATCGGATTTTTTACAGCTTTCAGGTTGATAACTCCTTTTGACTTTTTAGAGAAATGAACAAATACGTTTTCTCGGTAGACTTAAAGTGTTGCAGGAAACAAACTATTGTTTCCATGCTGTGGTTTTGGACATGCTGATGTTAACTATGTGTGTGACCATTTTATTCCTAATTATGTACTTACATATTAATATGTTACTGTTGCTAAGAAGTCTATTTAATTGCTTCCTCCAAAGAAATGCCCTGGTTTCCTTGCACAAAGGAAAATTTTAAATCTTCTTTAGAAACTATAAAACCTACATAGTACTATTATATGGAGACCTCAAATACTTTGGGAGTGTGAATTCATTAACCTTTAGGGCAAATCGTAGCTCCAAGTGGTGTTTGAAAGGCAGATGAAGAAAGTCACCAGAGGCCAGGTGATTTGCTGTCAGATTGACCCAGTAACTCAATGGCTTATATCAGCATTGAACTGAGGGGTCATTTTTTTTTTTTTTTTTTTTTTTGCTGTGACAAAATCTGAAAATACTTAACAAAAGTATAAAATATCTTCACAGTTAAACTGTATAGCTCATAAATATTTCTGATAAAGATACTTAAATTAGGATAAATTACTGTTTCTATAAGCTTGAGAGTCAAGCAAAACATATATATATTTTTGAAGCTTCTCTATATAGATAGATGATACATAGATAGATAAATAGATGATAGATAAGAAAGAATGAATAAAATAAAGAGAAATAAATAGCTGTGTGCAAGTAATCTTTAGTTCCTAAGCATAGAAATAATTTAATAGTTTTAATCAATACTGTACTTTGCATTTGAGTCATACTAGGGTTTAAAAATCTTTAGCCAAGCCACAGGCAGTTATCACCAAAGCAAATACAATCATGCACAGTTATAGCTCACATCTCCTGATGAAAAAAAGCGAGGCTGATGTAGTTTGAATGCCTGGGAGTGCACTGTGAATTAGTCATTAGCTTATAACCCATTAGTATAATGCTTTGCTTTGATGCTGATCCTTGCAGTTGACATTAGAGGGGGTGAGGCGGATGCCTGCGAAACTAAAGCACTATGGTTGGTTCTCATTCACTTGTGAATGCTGCAGGCTCAACCACATCTAACAAAGGAAAATGGCTCTGTAAAATTTCTTACGAAACTTTAGATTTCCTTAAGAAACCAGTCTGAATTAATGTCACCTCTAGTTGAGATAAATCTTCCTGTAAAAAGAACTGGTTTGATTGAGTTCACTTCAAAAAAAAATAATAAAGAGGTTGACGTTCTGCCATAGTGGGTAAAGTTGCCACCTATGACACAAGAATCCTTTATGCGCACTGGTTCTTGTCCCCGCTGCTCCACTTCTGATCCAGCTCCATGCCAATGGCTTGGGAAAGCAGCAGAAGGTGGCCCAAGTGGTTGGGTCCCTATCACGCACATGAGAGACCCAGATGAAGCTCCTGACTCCTGTTTCAGCCTGGCCATTGAGGCCATTTAGGGGAGTGAACTAACAGATGGAAGCTCTCTCTCTCTCTGCATCGCTCCCTCTCTTTCTATAACTGTGCTTTTCAAATAATTAAATAAATCGTTAAAATAAATAGATAACAATAAAAATCATTCTGTGGCTGAAGTTTATGAAATAATAAATGGGAAACTGGGAAGTAATGACAAAGAAGCATTTGCATTGCTGTCAGCCCTTCAGGCTTCAGGGAGGAAGTCCTGGCTTGCAGGCTGAGGGGAACCAGATTCACTCATCGTTCTGCTAACTGACATTTTCTAGATCACATAGCTGTAGAGTAGGAAACAGCTTGAATCAATTTTCTTTGGATCTTCTTTTTCTTTAAAGAATGGAGCCTGTACATCTGCATTTCTCTGGAGCTCTTTTCCTTATTATAAGGACTAGACTAGCTGTCTAGAAAATCACTTCTCTCTAGAGCTTAATTTATGTAGGTAGGGAAAAGGTTGCATCTGTTTTTCTGTTGGGAATGCTGAAACCAAAAATGATGAGATGCCAACTCAAGTGATTATACTTATTATCCAAATTCCCAAGTTATGCTACTGATTTCTTTTTTCAAAATAGGAACTTACACAATTTGGAGATGATTCTTTGTTCAGAGAGTCAGAAACTACAGTGGTGCTGTTTGATTTTTTTAAATAAATAAATAAGCCTACAAGGAACATTTAAGCCAAGAACTGCCTTCTCTTATAATAAAATCAGCAAATATTAATTGTACTGCTTTAACTTATTTTATATGTCAGGGCTTTATATATGTTATCTTAATTGTATTCTCATGACCATTCTGAAAATAGGTGCTTTGCTTCCCACTTCCTAGAGGAAAGAGAGCTTAGTGAAATGACCAATTTGAACAATTTTAATCACATTTGGATGCTGTATTCACATCCAAATTCTGCATGAAAGAACTGAGAACAAAACTCTTCTTCCTGCCACACAAATTATCAATGCCAGACTGGAGACAGGCAGCAGAATATCAGGCAAGAGATCCTTCTGAAGTAGAGTCGAGTCAGTATGCAGCCATTGCTTCCACAAGAAGAGAGCGGAAGTCAGGGAACTGGGAGATCTTGTGTGACAAAATAGAGCAGAGCCAAGACAGAAGGAAAGGCTTTCAATGACAGCTCCTACTTGAACAAATAGTGAAAGGCAGCACTAAATTCCACATGATCATCTCCACAGGGCAGTTATTAAAACCAAACAGACAGGCCGGCACCGCGGCTCACTAGGCTAATCCTCCACCTTGCAGCGCCAGCACACTGGGTTCTAGTCCCAGTCAGGGCGCCGGATTCTGTCCCGGTTGCCCCTCTTCCAGGCCAGCTCTCTGCTGTGGCCCGGGAGTGCAGTGGAGGATGGCCCAGGTGCTTGGGCCCTGCACCCCATGGGAGACCAGGAGAAGCACCTGGCTCCTGCCATCGGATCAGCGCGGTGCGCGCCGGCTGTGGCAGCCATTGGAGGGTGAACCAATGGCAAAGGAAGACCTTTCTCTCTGTATCTCTCTCACTGTCCACTCTGCCTGTCAAAAAAAAAAAAAAAAAAAAAAAAAAAAAAAAAAAAAAAAGAAGAATTCACATAAAGAAGAAATGTGGAAAATAAATATATTTGGAAAGTATTTCATCAAATAAACGAATTTTTGAACATTACATTGCTTTTTGGTTGTTTCTAATGCATATATTTCTAAAAAAGTGCTTTCATTGCCATTCTACTAAAATAAAATAATAAAAAATAGACTTATTTTCTCTCAGCAATTGCGTTCTCCTATTTGATTTGGCAGCTGGAGTTGACCCACACATGAAATGATTTAGGGGTCTATGCCCACATTTTTTACCTACAATAAGATCTGTCTATAAAGTCCGAGTATATTTTTTTTTTTTTTTAGACAGGGAGCAAAATAAACTGCCGCGGTCTTTATTTCGTTGCTCTAGCTCTTGTTTTTCACTCCACAGTTAGTAACAAATGTTGATTTGTGTTGAATGATTTTCTATTTGGCTTTGATTTTTGACAAGAGCTTTGAAGCTCACATTTTCTGGCCCCTAACCCTGTCAGTACCGCCACTCTTTTTTTGCCTCCTTCACAGTCACAGGAAGAGAGGCCCTTTTCAGTCACCCTGTGCTTCTCCAGTTCCTGAGAGAGTCTGATGCCTTTATTTTATAAGATTTTTTAGATTTATTTATTTATTTGAAAGGCAGAGATACAGAGAAAGAAGGAGAGAGAGAAGTCTTCCATCCTCTGGTTCACTCCCCAAATGGCCACAGTGGCCAGGGCTGGGCCAGGCAGAAAGCCTGGCGCTTGGAACTCAACCCGGGTTGCCCATGTGGGCAGCAGACACCTAAGTACTTCAGCCATCTTCCACTGCTTTCCCAGGAGCATTAGCAGGGAGCTGGATTGGAAGTGGAGCAGCTGGGACTTGAACCAGAGCCCAAATGGAATGCCAGCACTGCAGGCAGAGGCCCAACTTTATGCCACAGTGCCAGGCCCTATTTTAAGATTTTATTCTTAATTTTACTTACTTAGCTGAGCTAATGATTAACTGGTGCTCTCAATTAAGTACTTTGTGAGAAAAAAAAACTAAGAAATAATTTACTTGTAGGAAAAATGTCATTGTTTATGTCTACACTCAGGCACACTGGATGCTATCTATACCGCATCATTTGTCACAGCTTTGGACATATGAATCCATCTACACATTTAGGTAGTCACCCAGAAGCAGTCACTCTTGAGTTATATAAAATGTCACCTTTCGTGAGTTGTAAATTTCTCTATCCACAGGATTAAAATCTAATAAAAACCTAGCATGTCCAAGGAAATCACATGACTACATGTGTGAGCACATATGTCATCATTTATGTGTTGGGAGCAGGTTCACACAGATTTCAGTTCAATTCGTGTGATAATAATTCTTACTTATTTCTTGAAGTAGTCAGTACATCAGCAGTTGTGGTATCAGCCAAGCGAACACTCCTGATGGAAACGTTTAGTTATGAGTGCATTCTATGAGGAGAGCTGACTCTTCCAGGGGTGTGAGAGCTGGGCCTGCAGCTCAGCATTCTGCTTTTCTAGTTCTCTTCCATCCACCCTCTCTGCCCTCCGTCTTGTGATAACCTCTATCTGCACTGTTCCTTTTGCGCATGGCTTTTCTTTCAAAACCTTCTATCTTTTGTAACTTTCCTTCTTGTTTTCTCTCCATCCTTTTATTTCTTGATTTCTCTCTCCCCCTCCTTACTTCCTTTCTCTTCTTCACACTACCTCTCTTATAACCCAAACTTTCTCCTATCTAGTCTCCTCCAACTTTCTCTCTTTCTCTCTCTCCCAACAATTTTAACTGAACTAAAACAAAGTGAGATACTCTAGTGTACTAAATATAACTCTTTTGTTTTTTACTATAAATGATCCTAGTTGAAATCTGGGGGGAAATAATCACTTTTTCATTATGTGTAAAGAAAATTCTTATTTTTTTTCCAAGTCTGTCTTTGTTTTTTCTAATTTTTTAATTTTAATTTTTTATTAGTTTTTAACAGATATAGTATAGTTAGTAGATGCAGTCCTAAGAACATAATGATATTCCCTCTTGCCCTCCTTCCTTCTCTTTCTCCCTTTCCTTTTAAGAAACTTAACACAAAAGATATTTCAGTTTAATCAAATATGAACCTAGAGTATTTTATCCTCTTACAAAATCACAAATTTTTCCTACATTTAAAGAGATTTTTGAAAATGTTACCATATTGTATGTCCTGTTCTCATGATCCTTTTCTCCTAAGTTCCCAGAAATCATTTCTACCTTATTTCAGTACTTAGGTTGAATCTGCACATAACTTTATGGGGTCTTATTTCATCTTTTTTTAGTAGATAAACATGTTAAAGGTAAGAACTGAAACTCAATCCAATAGAAATAGCAAATAATGAATATTGTCCTTTAAATATTTATACTGAGTGCTGGGTGCTTTGTTTCAGGGTCATATGCTTAAGTATTAAACTCATGGCAGGACTGTAGTTTTTATTCTTTGTTTCTAGTCCCAATATCAGGGAGCACTACAAATAATAGCTTCAGTCAGATTCTAAGGCAAATAGCTAGAAATGGACATAGACTGTAAATCTGCCAGGTATTTTATGCTTTTTGTTCCCACTGAATCCTATTTCATTCATTTCAAAGACATGCAGACATTGAAATTTACATGAGGAAGGGAATTCACTACAATGGCTACCCAGGGATGACAAGTTCCTGCTGGATGGAAGGCTCTGGTCTGTGCTCTTTTTTATTTTTCCCATGTCTTGGGCTCTGAGACAAGACTCTTGGGTTCTCTGGACCACTTCCCCAAATAGCATCCATCTTCCTTGTCCTGGTTTTGATCAAGTTGAGAAGTAGACCAAACGTGATTATGGTAGACAAGTCATGTCCTTTATTACTGAGAAGGAATTATGAAGAAGATGTAGCTTAGTGCGAGGACATAAATGCCGGATGACCAGATCCCAACACTTGACAGATTTACTATCCATTGCAGGCTGCAGAACAAACACAGAAAGTGCATCCCCTGAGGCAACTCAGTCTCCAGAGGAAAGAGGAAGAGCTGAGCGGGACATGCTGAGTTATATTTCTTGGGTTTACCTCATGAATGAGGCAGTGCACCACCTAGGGGCAGAGCGCACAAAAGGACAGAGATTACTGTAAATTAGCTCCGTCTACAGGGAATAAAGCAAAAATGTGTCAGGAAACTAAGCCTTATAATTCTCTATCTTAAGTTTCACATTAGGCTTTCTAGTCTTCTTTTAGTCTGAAGGTTCCTGACACAGTATCATTTTCATGGTCATATGCATAGTGTACAGACTCTGCAGTCATTTTTCTGCCATGGTGATGATAATACAGGGAGTTTTTCCATTTCAAATGATGCAATTTCTGTGACTCCCATACTGCTCACTTGGCCATGATGGGCATCCATTCCTTTATGCATAATGCAAATACATTTTTATTTGTTTTGTTTTCATTACCACATAGGCCTATTTTGACCTCCTTTTCATTTATTTATGTCTGTCTCATTGCTGAATTTTCTCATCATGTAAATTCCATGAAGGCAATTGGAGCTGAGCCCACTCACCTTAATCTATATGCTTCTGATGACATCAAAGCATACAGAGAAAGTTCGTTTTGGCTAATGACTTGTTTGTTGTGAATACATTCTGGTTCAAATTAATAGAGCTGGAAAAGACTTAGAGATCATATAATGCAGCCTTGTTTGACAGAAGAGGAGATGAAGGTGCAGTAATAAGAACTGGCTGGCTGAACTCGCTGGTCACAGACTTGACCAGCAAAAGCCCCTTTGTCTCTGATCGCTCTTGGCTTGTGTGGGGAGATCTGTGCTCCTGAACAGCTCCAGCCTAAGTGTTTGCCTTAATTCTACTGCACAGAATATTCTGCCGGAGGATACTTGAGAAGTGTTTAGATAGAACACTGACAGATCCTTTTAAAATTGACTATGAAATAAGATGAAAAGAAGGGAGGCCATGCAGGTAGTTGGATAGAAAGACAGAAAGATATTGTTCATAGCTTATTGTCATAAAGTTTTAAAAAGGGATAAACCTGGCTGATATTGCCTACATTAACACACGCACACACACACACACACATATACACACACACACAGCCATTTCAAAACCAACAGCAATAAAGCCCGGGCTTTGGTTTTCAAGTGCCAGCACTATCATGAGGCTCGCCAAGTCAAAACCCTTGCCTTGCTCTCACTAACTTTCAAGGTTGATCAGGCAGAATGAAAAAGGGAGGAGAAACTTCTCAAGCAGAAAGGATAATAGCATGTCCTGTTATATTACTTGCATTTTATTTCCAGCCCTGCCACTGACTTCCTATGTGACCTTGAGCGAGTCATTTCATCTCCGTGTATCAATTTTCTCATTTGCAATGTAGGATAATAAATACTGCTTTCTGTCTGTCTCGTGGGTGATGCTATTATCACCATCAATTAATATTTATTAGATGTCTGTTGGGCCCATAATGCTGAGATATGTGCTTTGTCCTGGGGAGGGGAAGGAAATTATATCAATAAAACAATTTCCATGAGAAAAAGATGAAGATTTACAAAAGACAGAATTATTAGAGCTTAAAAATGGCTATGGTATATATTTAAAGCCTGCTTCTCTGCCAAGATTTATGTAATAACAATTTTTTTCTTAGTGATTGTACAATGTGTCAGGATAATTGTGTTTCAGACATTAGGTTTTACTTTGGGATAATTCTACACCAGACTTTGTAAAGCAATTACTGAAAATTCTTTATCTATGAGTTATAATATAAGCATCATTTATTTAGAAATATTATTTATTGATTGTACTGTATTTAATTTGCATGGACATTTTGTTTTGAAAATGTTTTTTAACATGCTAATAACGCATAAGATACGCATCATCATAAGTCACACTTTTTTTACTAAAACAGAAACTTCATTGCTGGTTGGTCCACACTGGGCACATGAATGAGGGTTCCTTTTGATCCTGTCTTCCCATCCCCACTGTTGTTTACCTGTTTCAGGCCCTACTTACCTCTCATGTGGGTTAGAAAAAGAGCCTCCAAATCTGGGTCCCTCATTCTGCTCTCTTACTTTTACCATCAGTCCTTCACACCATGGAGAAACAGATCTTTCAAAATAAACCTGTGAATGGATCAACGTAATGTGGTATACACACACAACATATTACTCAGCCTTAAAAAGGAATGAAATGTTGACACATGTACAAAATGGATGGACTTTGAAGATATGCTAAGTGCAATAAATAACAGATATTGTATGATTGTGCTATTTAAGTTATTTAGAACAGTCAAATTCTTAGAGATAGAATGGTGGCTCCCAGCAACTCGGGGAGGGGGTCATGGAGAGTATGAAGTTTCATTCGAGAAAGTGAAATATATTTAGAAATGGGTAGTGCTGATGGTTACAAAACAACATGTATGGGGGCCAGCGCTGTGACTCATTTGGTTAATCCTCCGCCTGAGGTGCTGGCATCCCATATGGGTGCCGGGTTCTAGTTCCGGTTGCTCCTCTTCCAGTCCAGCTCTCTGCTGTGGCCCGGGAGTGCAGTGGAGGATGGCCCAAGTGCTTGGGCCCTGTACCCCATGGGAGACCAGGAGGAAGCACCTGGCTCCTGGCTTTGGATTGGTGCAACACCGGCTGTAGCAGCCATTCTGGGGGTGAATCAAAGGAAGGAAGACCTTTCTCTCTGTCTCTCTCCCACACTGTCTATCTCTATCTGACAAAAAAATAAAAAAAATAAAAAAATTTTAAAGAAGTATGTACTTAATCTCATTTAATTGGATGCTCAAAAATGATTAGAATGAGAAGTTTTATTGTTTGTATATTTCATCAAAATAAAAAAATGTTTAAAAGTAAATCTGGCCCTATCATTTTCTTATGCAGAAATTATCATTAACTTCTTGTTATGACAGTAAAAATTCTTTGGAAATGAACTCCAGCTTGTTTTTCCAACATTATCTCTGACAATATCCGCACCAAAGGTGGAGGATTAACCAATTGAGCCATGGCGCCGGCCCTAGCCAACTGTTGAAACCATATGTAACTGTAACTCAAAATGCAATTCTCTACGAGACTTCCATGCCAATATCAGAATTAAATACTCCCACTAAGGATAGTCTAATTATGAGATGTCATCTTCTCATTTTCCTTGAGCTTTAGCTCCAATGGGTGTTTCCCAATAGCCAGCATTGTTTGTTTCCTATCTATACAGCAAACAATGATTGACAAGAGTTATTTTTTATTTATCTGATCACGCAATGACCATCATCAGAGCAGAGACTGGGGTGGGGGAAGAAAAGAATTTAAGGTACAATATTTGTACAGGCTTTAGATGGAATTCCTTCTTACATTTTGTGCCTTAGGAGTCTCACTAACCTCATTAACATCCCAGTCCCAGTGATCAGTAATTTTCCTTCACAATAGAAAGTAATTTTAACGCATTGTGTTAGTTATCCACAACTGCATAACCAATCTGCTTGAACCTTAGCAACTTAAAACAATCAAGAGTTACTACTTCAATTTCAGGATCAGAAATTTGGGAGTGGCTTAGCGAGGTGGTTCTGCCTCAGCATTTCTCGCGATGATACAGGAGAGATGTCAGTAGAGGACATCGACTGCTGCTGGGTGGACTGGGCAAAAGCTGCAGGTGCCCAGGTGCTCCCTGACATGGCTGCTGGTGGGAGGCTTCATTTACTTGCCTGGTGTCCCTCTCCCTCAGGGCTGCTTGTGCCCAAGTGTCCCAGTGCTCAATAACAACACTTTGTCCTAAACTCCCGTAGTACAATAAAACCTTGTGTTGCCTTGCTTTGTGTTCTACCTTTGACCTTTGCTCCCAACCATATATGAAGCACCAAAGAGGGGAGTTTCATATTTTATAGCTCACTATAATCCCCATCCATCCAGGACATTGGTGTACACAGCCCTGTTAATGATGAAGCTAGCAAGAGCCTAACATAATGTTACTTGTAGCTTACACTTTGTAATAAGTGATCTTTTATCACAAATGGTGAATAAATTATATTGTTGCCATATATAGGCCAGACATAAATATATTCTTTTTATTGATTCAAGTTATAATTTTGAACAGTATTGTTATACTTATGAATGTAAACACAATTTAGAAAATAGTTAAAATTATTGGTAGTTAAAGCGTGAAGGCCCTAAAATGTCTTGATTTTTCAAATTATCATCTTTTTTTCTTTAAGGTAGGAGGAATACAAAATACAAGCCAGTTCAATTTACTGATAAATCAATCAATTATAGCCAAATAAATCAAAATGACAGGAGAGCAGTCTGCTTCAAACTAACAGATGCATTCTGTTTTGGAAGGGTAAGAGAGCAAGAATAAGACTGGATTCTTTGGTTTGGGCCATCTTTGATCTAGTCCTCATAGCCATCTTTTGTATATTGTAATAATAGCCCTTTGCATACAAGAAAAAACTAGTGGCCAGCACTGTGGTGTAGCAGATAAAGCCACTGCCTGTAGCGCCGGCATCCCATATGGCCACCTGTTCAAGACCCGGCTGCTCCACTTCTGATCCAACTCTGCACTAGGGCCCCTGCACCCATGTGGGAGACCTGGAAGAAGCTCCTGGGTTCTGGCTTTGGTCTGGTTCAGCTGATTGTTGCAACTATGTTGGAAGTGAACCAGTGGATGGATGATCTTTCTCTCTCTCTCTCTCTCTCTCTCTATCTCTCTCTACCTCTGCCTCTCTGTAATGTTGCCTTTCAAGTAAACAATAAGTCTTTTTTTTTTGAAAAAGAAAAAATACTTGAAAAATTAAGCAATTTTCAGGCAGGCACTGTGGCATAGTAGGTGGAGCCACTGCTTGCTGTGCCGGCATCCCATGTGGGCACCAGTTCAGGTCCCTGTTGCTCCACTTCTGGTCCAGCTCCCTGTTGGTGTGCCTGGGAATGCAGCAGAGAATAGCCCAAGTTGTTGGGCCCTTGCACCCAGGTGGGAGGCCTGGAAAAAGCTCTTGGCTCCTGGCTTGGAACTGGCTCAGGTCCCGCCATTGTGGCCATTTGGGTAGTGAACATGCAGATGGAAAATTCTGTCTCTTTCTGCCTCTGCCTCTGCCTTTGCCTCTGTCTCTCTATAACTTTCCTTTCAAATAAATACATCAATTTTTCAAAAAAATTAAATAATTTTCCTAAAAATGTAATAGAGATAGGATTTTATTTATTTCAAAAAAACATTTTGAGCATACTTTCTGGTGCAGTGTTGTGGCACAGTGGGTTAACCTACTGTCTGCAAGGCCAGCACTCCAAATTGAAGTACCTGTTTGAGTCTTGGCTGTTCTGCCTCCATTCAAGCTCCCTGATAAGGTGCCTAGGAAAGCATCAGAAGATGACCCAAGTCACCCATGGGGGAGACCCAGATGCAGTTCTAGGCTCCTGGCTTCAGCTAGGCCCAGGCTAGGCCACAATTGTTGCAGCCACTTGAGGAGTGAACTGGCAGATGAAAGATCTCTCTGTCTCTCCCTCTCTGTCACTCTGCCTTTCATATAAATAAAATAAGTCTTCTTAAAAGATATATTTACTTATCTGAGACAGAGAGATACAGACACACAATCAGGCAGAGGAAACATATAGGCAGACAGAAAAACCAAGAGTTCCCCACTGCTGTTTCACTCCCTAAATCCTCATAGACAGCTAGAACTAGACCGAGAGCCAGGACATCAACCCAGGTCTCCTCCATGGGTGGTGGAACCTAACCACTTGGCCTACTGACTGCTGCCTCTCAGGGTGCCTTCCAGCTGGGGGCTGAAATTTAGAGTGGAGCCATCCAAGAGGCAATTTATCTGTTAGGTCAAATGCCTACCCCAAAAGCTAGAATTTTAATTTAAACCTTCAGCCTCCTTTGTGTGTAAAGAAACTCTGAAATCCTTGTCCATACACCACAGAGTATATATTATATTATATTATATTATATTATATTATATTATATTATATGCAGGTCAGAGTGGTGGTGTAATGGTGACAAAAGGCATAAGAGCAGCCACCTCCCTCAGGGCTTAGTTTTTGCAGAGTTTCCCTCTCAGGCACTCAGACCTCAAAGACCATAGCTATGCCATTTATTTTTTATTTTTTGTAAGTTTTTAAGGATTTTATTCAGTGAGAGAAATGCACAGGAGAGTGTGAATTTTAATTAGGGGAGAAAAAGAAGTCAAGAAGCTAAGATGGGTCCATACCAAGCAGAGAGCAGGCCAGAAGCGAGCACTGCAGAGCAAGCATGCAGGCAGGAAAGCAGAGAGCGGTGACCTGAAGGCCATGCACTCTGAAGGCGCAGGGCAACAAGGGAGGCTATGTCCTTTAAAGATTTACATTGAAGTGTAAATCATTGCCCTAAATGATATGCTCTTGGTCTGAATTGCAGGAGCACTAGGAGCACCATTTTTATGGGAGGACCCAGCAAACCAGTTCCTACATCTCAAAAGACACATAAATTTGCAAGATTACTGGGACTCAGATCATAGTCCAAATGCTTGGGGAAAAACATTGGCTGATCAGGTACTGTATTTATACTTGAAACAAGTGGTCAGGGCTGGCATTGTGGCACAGTGGTTAGATCACCATCTGCGACACCAGGATCCCATATGAGCACCTGCTTGAGTCCTGGCTTCTTCATTTCCTGGCCCAGCTCTGGCCTTGAGGCCATTTGGTGAATGAACCAGCAGTTGGAAGATTCTCTCTCTCTCTCTCTCTCTCTCTCTCTCTCCTCTCTCTCTCCCAGCCTCTCTCTCTTTCTTTCTCTGTAACTCTGCCTCTCAAAAAAATAAATAAATCTTAAAAGCAAAAGACAAACAGCAACAAAAACCAACAGGTCCTTTACTGTCTATCTTTTTAAATAAGTAATTTATCAGTTGGCATTAACACACCAATAGCCTAGCCCTGCCTTATTCTCTCTAGCCTCTCTGAACTAACTTACTCTTTCTTCCCCAGGAAGTAGCTTTTGCCTGGTAAATTCCACCCCTTTGCTAAAGACTAAGCTCAAATGTCATCTCTTCTCTGAAACCCTACCCTTCTTTCCAAGGAAGCATTTGTCCTTCCATCTTGCCCTTGTGAATGCTGTTCACATGTGAATGGCTCTCAAAATGTTACATTAGAGATATTTGTTTCATATGCTTACCTCTTTGCCTAAGATTACAAGGGTAAGGTCTTATTGATAAAGGTAATTATTCATTCAATGATTGTTATGTAGTTAAGGTTTAATAAATCATTACTTGTTTGGGTAGGTGGATGAATGGATAGTGGTCACATTTTAATTCAATCTCAGCTGTTCAGTAGCTACTTTTCTTCTGTGACAATTATTCAAGCTAGTTCCTTCATTTACTTGGACTTTTTGCATTTTCCTATTCATTCTCATTCCAACCCCAAAAGAAATAAAGGATAAACTTGCATTATCCAGTTTTATTTCATGGTTACTTTTCTCTGTTAGAAGAAGTAGAAAAGGGGCTGGCCCTGTAGTGCAGTGGTCTAAGCCTCCACCTACGCTGCATCCTATATGGGCCCCAGTTCATGTCTCAGCTGCTCTTCTTCTGATCCAGTTCTCTGCTATGGCCTAGGAAAGCAGTGGAGGATAGCCCAAGTGCTTGGGCCCCTGCACCCATGTGGGAGACCTAGAAGAAGCTCCTGGCTCCTGGCTCCTGGTTCCTGCCTTGGGATTGGCCCAGCTTCTGCTGTTGCAGCCACTTAGGGAGTGAACCAGCATATGGAAGGCCTTTCTCTCTGTCTCTCCCTTTCTCTCTGTATGTAACTCTGCCTCTCAAGTAAATAATAAATAAAAATCTATTTTTTAAAAAAGGGAAGTAGAAAGATACCTCCTGTCCACTGGTCAACTCCCCCAAATGACTGCCATGTCTGGGATTGGGCCAGGCAGGAGCAAGAAGCCAGAAACTTAATCTAAGTCTCCCACGTGGGTGACAGGAACCTGATTGCTTGAGCTATCTATCACCTACTGCCTACCAGGGTCTCCCTTGGCAGAAAGCTGAAGAGTAGAGTTGGGTACTGAACTCAGGTAATCTGATATATAGGCCTCTTAACAAGCATGTTAACCACTAGGAGAAATATACACCCTTCATGTTTACTTTTCTAATGGAAAAAGACATTGAAACTCTAAGACAAATGAATTATTTTGAAGATTTCAATTATTTATGATTTCCTTCTTCCAACTTAGCAATTTGGAAAGCAAAGCTTTACAACAAGTCAACTAATTAATTTCTTCACTTACTCATTCATTTTTTCTGCATACTTAAGGCTCTCATTATCACCAGGCATCAGGTTGTACAAAGTCATAAAAACTGAATGTCCTTGTTTTTCTGGGGTCTCAGTCCTACCATTACTCTGCGTGGCTGAGTCTTTAGTGGTCTACCAGGATCAACTTGCTTCTCAGTGTTTGCTGATGAAAAACACCAGCTTGAATAATGCATATAATTTTATGTCTATTTCTTTCAAAGAGACAACATTTATAGGAATTACAATAAGATATGTATTTATTTGGCAAATTAAATAACTGTGTAAGCTGGTAGACTGTGTCATCTTTATGAAATGTTGAAATTAGAGGCAGGTACAATCCTACCTCTAACTGTAGACCAATTCTGTGATCAATGGACAGTTATAGCAATGTAGGCAGAGTCTACCGCATTGGCCCACAAATGCTGCAAAACTCTTCAGTGTCAAAGTACAGACAGCTAACAATATAAAACCCAAACCCTATTTGGTATAATTCTTACAATTCTTCCATTATGTATTTTTGACAGTTTTTAGGAGTATCTGTGGTTATTAGAACTGCTGCACCATCTGCTTCACACACTCAGATCGTGACTTGTGTTTCCTTTCATTGCAGGCTCTTGAAACGTGGCATGCTTTGAAAACAACTGCCCAGTATTATTTGGGTGTGAATATCTTCACCTATGACATTTCCTCTGTCCATTAAATGTGCTCTACCGATGAAAGCAAAACAAGGATGGTGGGAATCAGTATGGCAATACACCAAACCCATGGAAGAGCTGAGGGCAAATCCATGCCATTTCTAGATTATTTATTATGTCTGTCTCATAGAGTTGATGAAAGGAATAATGAAAATCCATGTAAAGGCTTGGAATTAGAAGTTCACAATAAATTGTAGCTCTTGAAATGAGAACCAAATAAAAGTATAGTAATAACATTTACCCAAATGTGAACTTTTATGGGAAAAGAAAAGCAAAAACCAAAAAAATTAATGTCCGTAGTTTATACCTGTTGCTTCCTACTGCCTTTTATTTAAAAGGGCTACTTTATATATATATATATTTTATATATATATATATTTATATATATATTATACTATATATATATATATAAAGTAGCCCTTTTAATATAGCCCTTTATATATATAAGTTCTGAGAAGCAGGGATCTTTCAAATGGAGCAGCAGCTATGAACTACTGACACTATTTTTCCCACATCTTCACCAGCATTAGTTGTTTGTTGATTTCTGTATGAAAGGCATTCTAACTGGGATTAGGTGAAACCTCCTTGTATTTCGATTTGTGTTTCCTTGACAACTAGTGATCCTGAGCATTTTTTCATGTGTCTGTTGGCCATTTGGATTTCCTCTTTTAAAAAATGCTTGTTCAAGTCCTTTGCCCATTTCTTAACTGGGCTTTTTGTTTTGTTGTTGTTGAGTTTATGAGCTCTTTATATTTTCTGGTTATTAATCCTTTATCAGTTGCATAGTTTGCAAATAATTTTTCCCATTCTTTTGGTTGCCTCTTCACTTTGCTGAGTATTTCTTTTGCGTGCAGAAGCTTCTCAATTTGATTTAATCACACTGCTCAATTTTGGCTTTCATTGCCTGTGTTTCTGAAGTCTTTATTTTAAAGAGCTCAGGATCACTAGCCATCAGGGAAAATGGTACCCCAACCCACTGTTGTGAATTGGTACAGCCACTGAGGAAGACAGTATGGAGATACCTCAAGTCTATGCTTTTGAAACTGTTTTCATCAGAGGTGTATTGCTGAAGGCAGTCAAGAAAACAATCTTAACTTACATAACTAGCAGATGGTGGCTGGGAACCCATTGGAATCCACTCACCTGTAAGAGCAAACTTCCTTAGAAGTTTTTCAAAATGTGTACAAGTTTCTACCTTCTGTTCCATAATATACTGATTTTGTTTTTACTTGAAGTAGCCATTGTAACTTATTGTCCTGGTACATTTATTAATCTTTTGCAATAAAACTGGAAAATGGCTGTGGAAAAAAGTGGACTACATTTATCCTAAACCTTCCATGTATTTCAGGAATACCACTTCAGTTTGAGAAGTAGTGAGATTGGGCCCCACCCCCATCCCAGATAACAGATAACTGAAATTGTTATCTTTAAATCTTTACTTTTTCCATATCCCTACCTCATGTGTTCTTTTTATCAATTTCTTTTGGACTAGTAAGGTAAATAGAAACATTCCCCCTAAGACCATTATTGGTCTTATGTAGTCTTACAATGATCTTAAGCACTTTTTGAACAACAGGTAAATCAGTAAAACCAGACCCCATGATGCTGCACTGTAACGTCTTTGGCCCCTGTAATCAAAAGGACACTAACAACTATTCAATATTCCTCACTTCCTATCCTATTGCCTAAAGGCAACTTCAGTGGGAAATTTGAGGCTGATTTATGATTCATTGTGTTAGTTGCTACCCATTTCCAATAAACATAAACATTAATTTTTAAATCTAACTACGACTAAATAGCAAAATAAGAAAAATTAATAATTTGGTTTTGCAGGAAACAAATTGGAGAGTATACACACAAACATATCTGTACTTTTTTTTCAATAATAATGTGTATTTTGCTACCACAAAGTTCCATTCTTTGATTTTTTTAATAAAAAATAGAATATCTTTTCATTACTCAAGGTTCTCAGGAAAACAGAAATATATGTCTCACTCAATCATGGACACATAGAAGTAATATATGTAATTACCATATTTTATAGCTTTTTTTATTATAGCATATTTATACTCAAAGTATACTTGTATACTTGTGTTATCCTTACTGTGGTGTACAGTTACACTATTATAAGATTTTTTAAGGTTAGAATTTAATTGTAATTTATTTTTGAAATTCCAACAATATTCAAGGCAGTTTCTGGTGTGCAATAAGTATCTGGTGAATATATAAGTATTGATGAAGAGGGTGCCTATCAGGGAGGTAAATGGTATTTACAAGATTTCATTCTAATCCTTTCTATATCCATGGCAGGACAAATAAATATGATGTTATACAGTTTATCCACTTGCTATCTAGCAACTCCATAAGAGAACTGAATAAAAACTCGCTAGCATTTTTTTCAAGACTGATCTTTAATTGCCTCCACTCAGCTGACCCAGCCTCAAAAACCATCCACCCTTCAGTGCCAGTTCATTATAATTTAAATAGAATAATTCATGGATGGGAGCTACTGTACACATAAAACAAATTAAAAGTGAGAGTATTTATTTTCATATGTTGATTTTTACTCATTCCATTTATTTTCCTTGGATTGATTTGAAACATCTCAGGCAACTGAGCCAGCAGAGAGTACATACATCTCATATTGTTATCTTCAATGACAGCAACAGTCCAAATAAATTTTATTGAAACTAATTTAGCATTGACTGGTAAAATATACAAACTACCCATCTGACTCAAAGATACTGCCAGACTTCTTCAAATTAGAGACAAAAAATAATACTTGGAGATTACATCACAAATTGGAACTGTCTTGGAAGGCAGTTCAAAAGTAAAAGTGAAATAAATTATCCAAATTTAAAATACTTTATTTCATCTATCACGGTGACAAAAGCAATCATGCTTTCTCATTTTGATCATGTTTCTGGGGAGAAAAATCTAATTATTTTTAACAGTTAATTTGAGGAAAAGTATACCTTCTTAGCTCTTTTCCCTTTTGCTCCATAAAATTGTACCATAAAAGGAATTCTTTGACTATCTTTAATTTTGACTATAACTCCAGAGCAAAAAAAAAAAGCCTGACTTGTGGAATGGTTGAAATTTTAAATATCTTTAAATCCAAGACATTGCACATCAGGAGTTTTTCTTTAGAGGCTAATGTTTCAATCTGGTTGTGGGGAGAAGGGAGAGTCATGTGTGGCCTGGTATGTAATAGGTAGCCTCTGAACCAGAACCTGGGGTTGTCACCCACTACCATTGTCTCTCTTGGTTCTTCTTCCTCGTTAAGTCCAGATGTTGATTTCCAGATATCATTGAGATCTTGGCTCCAGACTTTCTCTTCAGAGAAGGTATCCTGACTAACTGGTCTTAAGTGGCTTACTGTATTATTTTTATTCTTGTTGCTATAGCAAATTACCACAAATGCAGTGGCCTAATCATTGTGAATTTATGATCTTTGGTGCTAGAGATCAGAAGGTTAATATTGGTTTTACTTGGTTCGGAGCAAAATGTCGGGAACTGTGTTCCTTTCTAGACAATATTGGAGAAAATCCATTTCCTTTCCTTTCCCACTTTGTAACACCTCATTCCCTGGTTTGCAGTTCTCCTCCATCTTCCCAGTAATGATATTAGAAAACAAGCTCATTATTTTTAGCAAACAAATTGAAGAAAAGTATGCCCTCTTAGACATGAAAAGTGTATTTTAAAATGGTTTCTTTGATTATTTTTAATCCATGCAGTAACTAGAGAGAAAAAATCCTGACTTGCAGTATAGTTGAAATTCTAAATACTTTTAAATATCAAGCATGATCCATGTGGAGACTCAAATGGAGTTCCTGGCTCCCAGATTTGACCTGGCTCAGCCCTAGTCATTATGGCCATTTGGGGAGTGAACCAGCAAATGAAGACGTTTTTCTCTTTCTGCCTCTCCCTACCTCTCTGTCACTCTGCCTTTCAAATACATTTTTCTTCTATTTATTTTTTAAAGATTTTATTTATTTATTTGGGATATAGAGTTACAGACAGAGAGAGGGAGAGACAGAGAGAAAGGTCTTCCATCTGATGAATATCTGGCCGCAAGAGCCAAAACAGCCAGAGCTGGGCTGATCCATAGCCAGGATCCAGGAGTCTCTTTCAGATCTCCCGCTGAGGTGCAGAGGCCCAAGCACTTGGGCCATTTTTTACTACTTCCCTGGGCCATAATCAGAGATCTGGATCAGGACAATAACTGGGGGCCGACGCAGTGGCGCAGTAGGCTAATCCTCCGGTTACAGCACCGTCATCCCGTATGGGCGCCAGTTTGAGTCCCGACTGCTCCTCTTCCAATCCAACTCTATGCTATGGCCTGGGAAAGCAGTAGAAGATGGCCCAAGTCCTTGGGCCCCTGCACCTGCGTGGGAGACCTGGCAGAAGCTCCTGACATTGGATCAGCACAGCTCCGGCTGTTGTGGCCATCTGGGGAGTGAACCAGTGTATGGAAGATCTCTCTCTCTCTCTCTCTCTGCTTCTCACTGTCTGTAACTCTGACTCTCAAATAAAATAAATAAAATCTTTGAAAAAAAAAGACATTAACTGGAGTCCATATGGAATGCTGGTGCCATAGGTGGAGGCTTAGCCCACTACACCACAACACCAACCCCTCAAATAAATTTTTTAAACCTTTTTAAAATAGATGACTATCAGGCATGAACTCTGTGACATTTTTCCTCAGAGGTTTAGTGTTTAACTTCTAGTTACAACCTTTTGTTGGGCACAGTTCAGCAATATCACATCTTCCATATCATTTTCCATCTTCCATTTCTCTCTCTCTCTCTCTCTCTCTCTCTCACCAGAGTTGGAGAAAATGCTCTGTCTTAAAGGATTTGTATTAGATTGGACCTACCTAAGCTGCCTCTCTCAAGGTCTTTAATCTTAATCTCATCAGTAAAATCCTATGTCATGTACATAATATGCGCACATATATATTACATAATATGTAATATGTAAGGTAACATATTCTCATATTTCCAGGATTAGGATATGGATGTCTTTGAGGACTAATTTTCCCACCTACCAAACTTAATTCTCTCCCAGTCACTTTTTATGATATATATTTTTTTATTTTTTAATAGGATTGCATGACATTTTCTTCCTTATATTTATTTATATGCTAATAATTTACTTATTACTATATAGTTATTATTGAAAAGCTTCTCTTCCACCCCATTTTCCCTACACTATTCTGTAATCTTTTTGATAATAGGAACTTGACCTACTTGATCTCAACAGCACCCTCAGCCCTGAGAGTAGAACCTGGCCTGAAGCAGGCACTCCATAGA